ATGAAAATTATTAATGAAAACTTTTTTTTTGGGGGGGGGGGAAATTAATATAAACTTTAATACGGTGGAAATTAAATTTGCGAATAAATTGTCGTGGAAGTAGAAGTAGTAGTAGTTAGCTGTAGGAGCAACATGGTTGCCACAATAAGTAAATAAAAAATAATGACGTCATATGTAAACAACTTCGTCTTTTAATAACAACAAACAAACGACAAAAAAAATTTTTTTTTTTTTTTTAACGTTTCGCATTTCCTTTGAATATTTTCAATGGACAAAATAGATAAGGTGATCGCGAGACATGGTTTAAACGAATCGGTTAAAAGCAGAAGATGCAAAAAATAATAATAATAATAATAATAATGCAAAATCCACGTAAAATTCGATTCGATTCGGGAAGAAAAAAAAATTTCTTTTCTTTCTTTCTTTTACTATTTTCTCTTGGTAAATAAAAAAGAATCTAGAACGTTCGATACGAGCGGGGAGGTGGGGAAAGTGTAAAAAATAAATAATAATAATAATATATTTTCGTAAATACTTTTTTAACGAGGGCCAGCCAGCCAAATTGTTTTTAATTGGCGTTCCGCCATTTTGTTTTTAATTTTTTGTCATGACGTCAGAAACCGTTTAATTTTTTTCTTTTGTTTTCTTTTTACAATTCTTATCGAACGAATTGTTTTTTTTTTTTGTAATGTTGGTAACGTTCGTAGGGGAAACGATTTTTTGTTTTCTTTCTTTCTTTCCCCTTTTTCTTTTTTTTGGTTTTAATAAATCCTATTTTATTTTTTCCCTCTCTTATATTTACCTTAAATAAATAATTAAATTTCTTTTGTAAAAAACGAAAAAGATTTTATTTAAAACGACATTTTCGAATAACAAATATGGTTGACAAGTTAGAAAGAAATGGAAAATGGAAAAACAATTTTTTTTTTTTTTTTTTAATGATAATTTCCTGTTTGATTAAGTTTGCCAGTTCGGATGTTTGTATTATATATAAAATCGTTTTGAAATCCGATTAGTTAAATAAAATATTCGATGGTGAAAAGAAGTTTTTCGTTCAAAAGAAAGAAATAAAAAAAAAAAAGCGATAATAATAATAATAGTTAACTGATGGAGAATGACGGAAAAATTTGAAAGGGATTGTTGTAAAGAGGGAAAATGTGGTGTGACGGCTCCGGGACATTTTCACGGGAGTAAAAAATTCGGGATAAGGCCTCACTGCAGAGCGAGACATAGAAAATTTACCAAACAGTGTTTGAATCAGGTTTTCGTTAAGGCAAGTTCAATCGGAAATGAAATGTATCGAATTTCCGGTCGTTCGAGTTTTTTTTTTGTGATGAACCGCTTGAAATGTTGTTTTTAAAATCGATTCAAGAGGTTGTTGTTTGTTGTTGCTGTTTGTTGTTGTTGTTTGTTGTTTGTCAGAAGAAGAAGATGATGAACGATGGTAAATTTTGTGGTGGTAGAAGTGAGAAAAAACATATCACACAGACGTGTCAGTAACTTTTATTTCGTCGGAAAATCACATTGCGAAAGATGAAAGAAATTTTTAAATGACCGGAAATTGAAAAAAAAATTTTTTTCCTTTCCTTCTACTCTCCTTCCCTCGCCCCCTCCGCCATCCCCCAGGGGAAATTAACAAATTTTTTTTTTTTTTTTTTTGTAAAAGAAAAAAAAAAAGTAAATAAATTTACGTGAATGGAATTAAATTCGCCTTTATTTACTCGCCGCCATTTTCATTAGAATTTCTGAACGCGGTTTATAATTCGCGGATCGAATCGATGAGGGAAGGAAAATGTCGAGGAGGAAAAGGGGAGAAAAAGGGGAGGGGAGAGGGAATGGGGAGGAAAATAAATCGATTTAAAAATTTTTTTTTTTTTTTCTGATTTACCCGTGCTTCTATTTTTTCCCTTTCCACCCTTTTCCCCCTCCCCTTCTCCTTCTCCTCCACCTCCTCCGTTAAAAATCGTCTGCTTAATAATTTTCCTTTTTCTTTTCCCTTTCGATTGTGAAAGAAACGTCGAGTGACGAGTTTTTTCTTTTTTTTCTTTTTTTTTTTTTTTCGTGGGAGGGTTCGTGAAAAAATGAGTGAAAACGAACGTGACGTTTGTGCGTGTGCTCGTGCGTACGGGAATTTATAGTAATGAAAAAAAAAGTAAAAAGCAGACGACAAAATTTATTTATTTATTTTTCGTTTCGAAAGAAATATTATAATTATATTTGTATATTAGATAGAAATGGTGTTTAAATTGAGAAATTGTGAAAAGTAAAACCGGGGGGGGGGGTGGGGACGGGCGAGGGAGGAAAGTGAAAAAAAAAAAAAAAGAGTGATGAATGAGGGAGCAGACGACGGCCTTCGATGAGGGAACGTGAGAAAAATTTCAAGGTTTTTGCCAACATTGTAACACACGCACAAAAAAAAAAAAATTTAATTCTGGGCTTTGCCCGTTATTCCCCCCCCTCTTTCCCCCTCCCCGTAATATTCCATCTTTTTTCCTTTCTCTCTCAACCCCCCCTCTTCCTCCCTCACTTCCTTTCACCTCACGTGAATCACCTGACATCTCATGTTTGTTGTTAATAATAATAATAATAATAATAATAATAATAATAATAATCGTAGCCAAATATTTTTTGGCAAATTTAATTACGTCATTATTTTACGTCACGTCATCACCATCATCATCATCATCATCATCCCGGGATTAATTTTTCGGCGGAATTTAATTATTATTATTATTTTTGCTTTTACGAACGCCGACAATCGTGCAGATGTGGCCGAATTTCTTTTTATTATTATTATTTTTTTTTTATTATATTTATTATTATTATTATTATTATTATTATTATTATTATTATTATTATTATTAAAGGAATTTTCGATCGTAACGGACGATTCGATTTTGGCGGGTTTTTTTTTCTCTCTCTCTCTCCACAAAATGCGTTTTAAATATTTTCTTTCAATTTTATGTCTTGTAGCGTCTATTGTGTGTTGCTTTCCAAGTTTTCTTCTTCCACGTCAAATTTTCCGTTTTTTTTTTTTTGTCCGCTCGAATGGATCTTTTTTCTTTTCCTTTCATTTTCTCTTTCTTTTATTCTTTCCTTTAAAAATTAATTCAATACGTTCCTTTTTCCGGTTCTTTTCCGAGTGGGATCGTTTGTAAGGGTCGAACGAGTGCGTGTGTGTGTGCGTTCAGAAACTTACTTGTGCGTTTGGTGATGACGTCACGTAGACTTTATCCAACTTTGTCGTAGATTATTAATTTTAATATCGTCACACGAGAATAGTAATGATGAAAATTTGTCGTAGTAGACATAAGAGAAACATTGAAAAAAAATTTTTTTTTTTTTTCTTTTTCACGCTATAAATTTTATAAAAGGTTGAAAAAATTCGTTAATAATAAATTTAGGTCGTCGCGTGTATCAAAAAGAAAATTATATTTTTCTTTAAAAAAAAAATAATAATAATAATTTTTACCGGGAAATTCGATTACGCACGGGAAAAACCGAAAGAAAGAAAACTTGCGACATTTTTTTTTTTTTTTTTTTGGTTTTTAAATCTTGTAAAGTAAAAAAAAGGATTTAAAAAAGGGCCGAAAACTTTACAACGAAAAAAAAAAAAAATTTTCTTTTCTTTTCTTTTCTTTTAATTAGCTTATAATGGCGGAAAATTTTTTTTTCGTTTTTTCCGTTACAGCTGTATTTAATGGCGCTAAAAAAGAAATCAAATAAAAATAAATTTTTTTTTTGTATCGAATCGTTAGATCGTCGCCAAAAAAATTCAAATTATACGTTTTTTTTTTGTGTTTTTTGTGTCGAACGATTGTAATTTAAACCCAACTTAATTATCGCAAAAAGGAAAAAAAAAAAAAAAAAAGGAAAAAAGGAAAAAAAAAAAACGAAATTAAAATTTTTTTTTTTAACGACGTACTTACTGGTGGAATTAGAAAAACCGTTTTTTTTTTTTTTTTTTTTTGAAAACAAATCCTTTGAACAAATTTTAATTGTTTTTTTCATTTCTTTTTATCTCATTAATTAAATTAATTTTCTCTCTCTCTCTATCTCTATGGAAAAGAAAACATTTATTTATTTCATAGAGTGTCTTTGGTTTTTTTTTTTTTTAAACGACAAAAAAAAAAACTTTCCGGGAATTTTTTTCCGTTAAAAAGTATGGAATGAGACGCGCGAAATGACGATTTCGTTGAATAAATCATTATCGCGATGTTGCCGTTTTTCTTTTTGTTTTTTTTTTACTCTATGGTATAAAATTATTGAAAATGATGATGACGTCACACGCTAAGGAAGGATAAATTGCAAAATTCGAAAACAAATTTCCGTTTCGTTTAAAAAAAAAAAAAAAAAAAATTGAAATAAATATTAATTAATATATTTGAAAAAGTCGTTGTTAATGACACTTTTTGTTTTTTCCAAACGAATTCTTTTTCCACGACGATAAAACATTTATTCCTTTCATCGAGTATAAATTATAATTAAATCTCGTTTAAATAAAAAAATAATAAGCGAAAGGTTTGGAAAAATTTTTTTTTGTTTTTTTAAATAAATAAATAAATAAAACGAAAGAAAGTTCTAGAAGGAAAGTGAAGACGAAAAAATAATAAAAGTTTATTATTATTAATATTCTTTGTCGTGGTTTCCTTGTTGTTGTTTTTAATAATGTGAAAAATAATAATAATAATAATAAGTTTTCCTTATTGAAATTTCGTAAATATATAAAAAATTTGTTTTTTTCGTTGTTGGGGTTTTGATGTGATGACGTAATGATTTATTTTCCCAGGTACTTTCTTTGGGAGCCGATGTACTACCGGAATACAAGTTGCAATCGCCAAGAGTACACAAATGGACCATACTTCATTACTCTCCGTTCAAAGCAGCTTGGGATTGGATCATACTCATACTCGTCATGTACACAGCAATATTTACGCCTTATGTCGCCGCCTTCTTGCTAGAAGACAGCGAAATACATTCGAGGAAGGCGAAATACGGAGATGACCCCATCGTCATTGTTGATCTCATCGGTGAGTTTTCATTTTGTCTTTTCTCTCTCTCTCTCTTTGTGTTGCTCTTTCTCTTTGGCTCTCTCTCTTTGTGTTGCTCTTTCTCTTTGGCTCTCTATCTCTCTGTTTGTCTTTCACCTTCTCTCTCTTTCTCTTTGGTTCTTTCTCGCTCTGTCTCTCTTTTTTTCTTTTTCTACCTCTCTCTCTGTTTGTATTTTTCTCTTTCTCTTCATATTTGTCTTCCTCTCTTTCTCTCTCTCATCTTGTTTACCTTTCATTCTCTGTCTGTTTGTTTTTTTCTATCTCTCTCTCTCTCTCTCTCTCTCTCTCTTTTTTTCTTTTTCTCTTTGGCTCTCTCCTCTCACTCTCTGTATGTCTTTTTCTACCTTTTTCTGTCTCTTTCTTTCTTTTTTACCTTTTTTTCTTGGATCTCTCTCTCTCTCTCTCTCTTTGTTTGTCTTTCTTTCTTTTTCTGTTTACCTTACTAATTCACTCTTTCTCTCTCTCACTTTGTTGGTCTTTTTCTACATCTATCTTTATTTGTTTTTCTTTCTCTTTCTCTTTTTTTGTCCTTCTCTCATTTTTGTTTACCTTACTTATTAATTCATTCTTTATCTTTCTTTTTCTGTCTCTCTTTCTCTGTAAAATTCTGACTGTCGTGCAAATACAAACGTTTTCCTCCTTTTTTTTTCGTTTTGTTTTATGTTTTATCTAATAATACGGGCATCACCCACGTTTGGAAAAAAAAAAGAAAAAGTTTTCAATTATTCCCGTGGCACAGGAAACTTTTAATAAATTTTTAATTCGATTTTTTCATTTTCTCTCTCTCTCTCTCTTCCTCTCCCCTTCCGTTCATTCCACCTTCTTCTCTCTCTAGTTTTGTTTTGTTTTGCTTTTGTTTGTTGTTGTTGCTTCTGCTGTCGTCATCATGTTTCCCCTCCTCTCATTTCGTTATTCCTTATCGGGTCGTTTTGTTTCATCACGAGATGTTTTTTTACATTAATTTTATATTTAAAATTCGACGATGATCATTCAATTTTTTTTGTCTTGTTTTTTGAAATTTCATTCCGGAAACGACGGAAGACATGCCCGAAAGTTAAACAAAACCGGAAGTACGTCAAATTATTATTATGCCATCCTTTTGTGAAATGTTTTTATTCGAATAAATGATTAAATTTTCTTTCTGGAAATTTTCCTTTGTAAAATTTTTTCCTCCGTCGCGAATTTTTCGAAATTTTATTATTATTATTACTATTATTATTATTAGTTTTTTATTCCCATTTCGATCGTATTGAAATCGTTTTAAAAATGGGGGGGGGAGGAGAAGAAAAAAATAAAAATAAAATCCCTGGAATTATTATTCAAATTGGAAAATTTTTTTTTTCTTTTATAATTTTTGAAAAAGACAAAAAAAAAAAAATTTCCCGATTGTGGAAATTCGAAGTCAGTCGCATTTTTTCTTTTTTTTTCATTTTTTCTGGAATTTTCCTTTTTTTCTTTTTTCCTTTTTTAATTAACAAAATTTAAATTTAAAAAAAATTCAAATTGTTGGTCTTTAGTAAAAAAAAAAAAAAAATTAACATTTTTTTTTTGGGTGATTTTTGCCAATTTCTCTTACCCCCCTCCCCCATCTCTCTCTCTCTTTTTTCTTCTTCTGTCTCTCGTTTCTCCTCTCTCTCTCCCCCCCATTTCGGGAAAAGTTTTCAATTTTATCATAAAAGGAACGTCGAGTTTTGTAATGCTTTTATAAAACTATTAAAAAAGTTTAATTATACATTCATTGTTAATGTTTAACTTTTCTTTTTTTTTTAATCTGGAATTTCCAGAAAACGGGAAAACTACGTAAAATGAGAAAAAGAAAGAAAGAGAGAGGAAGAGAGAGAGAGAGAGAGAAAGAAAAAAAAAGAAAATTATTCATTATTTTATATACATTAATTTTCCTTCTTTTTTTAATGTTTTTGTTAAAAACTCCATTTCCAGTGAATTTCCAGCGAAATTAAAAAAAAAAATCTTTCTCGTATGGTGGATGACGTTTGATTCCCTCCCCTCCATCCCCCGCTCCCCGATATTGGAAAAGGAAAAAAGTCCCCCACATGAATCGATTGTTTAAAATATTAAATAATTTTTTTTTTTTATTTTGCGTTTCGATTTCCCCCCCCCCCCCCGGTCGAAAATTATCGTTATCATCATCATTATTATTATTTTAAAAGATTCCAGGTTTTTAAAAAGAAAGTCCGGAAAAGCCGCTGGAAAAATCTTTTTCTCTTTCTTTCTCTCTCTAAAAAAAATGAATTTCAGCTTCATTAAATGTCTCTCCAGGGTTTCGAATAACAAAAAAATTCGTATCGGAAAATTTAAAAAAAAAAAAAACGATTTTCAGGACTTCTCCCCAAGCGTCCCGTTTCGATCTTTCTTCCCCACCACAACTACCACCCCCACCCCCAAAAGGAGGGGGGAAATATCAAATGTCGATATATTCAAATTAATTTTTTTTTTACCTTTCGAAATTCTCATTTAAAATCGAATGTTGAAACAATGGCAACGTTGGATTTACTTTTCTTTTCTCGGGAGACGGGGAGTTGTAAAAGGGGGCTGCTCCTAAGGACTCGAAGAGATGAAACTGGGGAGAGGGAGGGAGGGAGGGAGGGAGGGGAAAAGGAAAAAAAATAATTTTCGAAACGTATTAATTTAAAAAAAAATTTTTTTTGATATTTTTCAGTCGATGTCACGTTTATCGTTGACATTCTTATCAATTTTCGTACGACGTATGTCAACAGCAATGACGAGGTCGTGTCACATCCTGGTAAAATCGCCGTCCATTATTTCAAAGGATGGTTCGTCATTGATTTGGTCGCTGCGATTCCTTTCGATCTTTTACTTGTCGGTTCCGACACTGACGAGGTGAGTGTTTTTTTTTATTTTGCCATTTTTTCCCCTCCTCCTCTCTCCCCTTTCATCCTCTTCTCCCTTTCCTCCCTTCCTTCCCACGCACCGGATTTTCTCACATCCTAACGGCGTCCCTTTTTCCCGAAAAAAAATTCCCAAGTTGCCCACAAGTGTGTCGACGTTCAATCGAATCCAAAAAAAAATTTTATTTTTTTTTTTTGTCATGTTGGTACATTGGTTTTTTATTTTATTATTTTTTCTCTTTCTCTCTCTCTCTCTTTCTGTCACGTGCAGCAGCTCGGATTGGAAGCAGATGAGGTAAACAATCGTCCCAAATTTATTATTATTACTTTTTTTTTTTTTTTTTTTAAAAAAGTTTTGCATGAAATTTTTTGATTCATTCTCTCTCTCTCTCTCTGCCCCCCAACTTTTTGCCCCTCCCCCTTCACCCGTAGAAAAAATAAAAAATTAAGTAGATTAATTCGTATCGATATTTAGCACGTTGTAAAAATTCCCCATAATTAGAATTTTGTTTTTGTAGATTGTAACGCGAATGATCCCCCACTTTTCACCTTCCGCCCCTCCCCCTGCCCCCGCAGATGTATATTTCTAGAATTTTCCATTGCTTTTCACGGGATTTTTATAAGAAAAAATAGTTTTAATTAAAAGAACCTCGGTCATCGATGTGAACGTTTCGATAGGACCTGGAAATTAAAAAAAAAAAAATTCGATCGACAATAATAATAATAATAATAAAACGAACGAATATAAAAAATTTAATTACGAGATTTGTTAATTAATAAATCGAAGAGAGAATCAATTATTTAATTTTAATAATAATAATAATAATAATAATTTTTATTGATGTCATCGATCACGTTAAATCAACGATTACGGTGGTTAAAAAAAAAAAAAGGGAAAAATGTCGGACGAATGTAAAAAACATTAATTAATTGATTTTTTTAATAAAAAAAAAAAAAAAATAAATTTCAAACTTATTCATCAATTATAAATGAAATTATCCCGTGGGAAATTTAATTAATAATCAGGAGAAGCATCGGTATCGAAACCGCTGCCGCCGCCGCCGCCGTCGCCACGTCTTATCATTATAATCATTATCATCATTATCGTTTTGCATGTTTTTTATATACCCTTGAAATGTAAAACACCCGCGTGAGTGCGTACACGCACTCACTCACGCACCCACGCACGCACGCACACGTATTAATTAAAAAAAAAAAGTAATTTTGATTGATTGATTATTTTATTTTGTTGAAATCACTTTTTAAAAAAAATTTTTTTTTTTTTTTTTTTGCTTTTACGACCTTGAAATATCAATTATCATTTGTGGATTTGTTTGATTTTTTTTTTATTAAATGGCGTGTGTTTTTAATCCCCCGGTCCCCCCAGCTCCCCCTTCCGAGGAAAGGGAAACCTGACGTGTGAAAAAATAATAAATGAGTTATAAGAGGAAGAAAGAAAAAAAAAGATGGCGGATCGTTATCGTATTTTTTTCGCATAAATCGCGCGTAAATCGTGGACGCGAGAGAGTTTCCGTTTAAAAAAAAAGGAGGGGAAGGGAAAGAAAAGGAAGGTGAGAGGAGGAGAAGGAGGGAGGAACGAAAGAAAATCCTGCGACATTTCCCCTCCTCTCACTCTCACTCTTTTTTCCTTTTACTCCTCTCCTTTCCTCCTCCCACTCTTCTTCTTTTACTCCTCCCCCTTTCTCCTCACTCTCTCCTCCCCCGCCCGCGAACGATTTGTCGGTGAAAAAAATTAAAATGATATAATTAATTCAATACGAAATTTATTATTATTATTAATATTATTATTTATTCATTCGAATGTTTTCTTTTTCTTTTCAAAATCGTTTACGAAGAACTCGGGGAAACGTAAGTTAAACACGTGCGCGATGGTTTTTCTTACGATTTTTTAAGTGTGTCGAGTATCGACAAAGTGGAAAAAGCGGCGACAGAAATATTATTGCATTTTTTTCAATTTTTTTTTTTTTTTTTTTGGCTGCTTTCTTTTTCATTTTATTTAACATTTTTATTTTTTGATCATTATTATCATTTTTTCTTATATGAAAACAGACGACGACGCTTATAGGATTGTTAAAAACGGCGAGATTGCTCAGATTGGTACGGGTAGCAAGGAAAATAGATAGGTATTCGGAATATGGTGCCGCCGTTTTACTTTTACTAATGGCGACATTCGCTCTCATCGCTCATTGGTTGGCTTGCATATGGTACGGGTTTTTCCTTTTTTTTAATTATAATATTTTAATCGATCGTCGTTAATAAAAAAAAAAAATTAAAACGTTTCAGGTATGCGATCGCAAATGCGGAAAGATCAACTCTCAAGCACAAAGTCGGTTGGTTGGACATACTTGCAAATGATACTCATCAATTTTACCAACCTAACAACACTGGCGGTCCTTCAATAAAGGTTACTTTTATTTGTTTGTTTGGTTTTTTCATAAGAAAATCAAATTAATATTGTTAATATTATTATTATTATTTCTTTTTTTCCGTTTAGTCCAAGTACATAACAGCTTTATATTTCACATTCTCCAGTCTCACGTCTGTCGGATTTGGCAACGTCGCACCAAATACGGACACGGAAAAAATTTTCACAATATGCGTCATGTTGGCCGGATGTACGTTTGTTTGTTTGTTTCCGGTAAAACGGTGTCGCGTCCGTTGGTTTGTTAATTATTTTTGTTTTGTTTCCAGCACTCATGTATGCCAGCATATTCGGTAACGTGTCGGCCATAATTCAACGTTTGTATTCCGGTACGGCGAGGTATCACACTCAAATGCTTAGAGTGAGAGAATTCATAAGGTTTCATCAAATTCCAAATCCGTTGAGACAAAGACTGGAGGAATATTTTCAGGTAGGAAGGCTCTAAAGTTATAAGGCGATCACGCGGCCGCACCTACCTACCTACCGTTTTTTATGATTTTTTTTCAGCATGCTTGGACGTACACGAACGGCATCGACATGAATTCGGTTCTCAAAGGTTTTCCGGAGTGTTTACAAGCGGATATATGCTTACATTTAAATCGAAACCTTTTGGCAAATTGTTCAGCTTTCGACGGAGCATCGCCGGGTTGTCTAAGGTAAACAAACAAACAAACGACTACATTCCATAATTTTCCTCCTTTTCGATATTTTTGTCTGCGCAAATCTTTTCTCTATCTATCTATCTTTCTCTTATTCTCTCTCTCTTTCTCTCTCGCAGGATTTTTACATTAAGGTAAAGTCTACGGTTCTTTTAACGGATGGTAAAACAACCGAATATAACCTTTTCAAATTAGTAAACGAAATATATAGTTGTGCGTGTGTGTGCGTGCGCGTGCGTTTTAAATAGAAAAATTCAAAGGTACTAGATAGATAGATAGATAGATAGATAGGTAGATGAGTGAGTGAGTGATTGTTTTTAGGAAAAGGTTGCGTATATATATATATTTAATAAACGTAAAGGAAACGTAGACTTTAGCGATCGATATATAGATATTTATTTATATTTTACGTAACCGTCGGAAACCGATACCGCCATTGTCTCCGCCGCCCCCCTACCCCCGAGAGAAAAAATAAACGAATTAGTTGCAGAAGCATGATCTGTTTACACGTATTTGCCTATTTTTTTTTAGACTTGTGAGTGCGTGCGTGCGTGCGTGCGTGTGCGAGTGCGTGTGGGTGTGGGTGCGTGCGTAGCGGAAACTCTAATTTTTCCAATTTTTTAGAGCATTGTCGTTAAAATTCAAAACAACTCACGCTCCACCCGGTGACACGTTGGTGCACAAAGGTGACGTTCTCACGCATCTACATTTCATAAGCAGAGGGTCTATCGAAATACTAAAGGATGACATAGTCATGGCGATACTCGGTAAATAATAATCTATTTATTATTATTATTATTATCATCGCTTTTGTGGTGCTCCTCACTTCTCCATTACCCCCCCCCCTCTCTCTCTCTTTGTAGGTAAAGATGACATTTTCGGTGAAAATCCTTGCGTGTATTCGACGATTGGTAAAAGTTCATCGAACGTTCGAGCACTCACGTATTGCGATCTTCACAGGATACACCGGGATGATCTTTTGGAAGTTCTTTCACTCTATCCGGAATTTTATCATTCTTTTTCTAGAAATTTAGAAATCACGTTCAACATGAGAGACGTAAGTGTTGTTGTTGTTGGTTGTTGTTTGTCGTAAATGGGTTGTTGACACGTGACGTGTGTATTTTCGCAGGAAGAACAAGCGGGTGTGGATCCGAGATTTTTCAGGAGGAAAGCTTCGAGATCGAGTAGCACCGATGAAGAATCTCAAGCTAGAAAGCAATACAAGTAAGAACGAAAGATGTCGGCGACGGCGACCAGGACGGAAACGGAAACGGACATGATTTTTTTTTGTTTGGATTTTTCAGACCGAATTCGTCGAGAGTCGCAGCTGAGGGTCATCAATTTTACAACAGTTTCACGGCGAGTTTCGATTCCGGAAACAATCATGGCGATAGCATGGACATGGCTAGGCAATTGTCGCAAGAAAGGTTTTTTTTTTCCCTACCATATCCGGTCGTCAATAGAGAAAGAAAGAAAAACACGTGATGGTAAAATTTTATTTCTTTTTTTTTTTTTCAGCGATCAAACAATCGACAATCCCACCGGTGCCATCGAACTATCAGCGGAAAGAGCAGAAGAATATGAGGAACACGACGGTCACACGTCATCAATAACCGGTAATTAATGTCGTCATAATAATAATTAATTACATTTTTTAATTAATTAATTAATTAATTAATTAATCACCAACGAGTAACAAAATTAATAATAAAAAAACGAATCGTTTTCCGCACGCGCACGCACACACACACATCCACACACAAGTAATAAAAAAAAAAAAAAACGCACCGATAACATAGAAAAAGTTTTTCACTCCGAGATTCTCTATTCGAGTGAATGAATGATTGATTGATTGATCGAACGAACGAACGAACGAATAAGTGAATGAATGAAACGAACGAACGAACGAACGTAAAGTTTTTTATTTATACTTTTTTTTTTATTATTCATTTAGAATTTTCCAGGTTTCATGTTTTTTTAGGTTCCGTCATCGATACTAACACAATCTAACGGTGAGATTTAAAACTACGATAACAAAAATAATAATAATAATTTCAATTAGTTTAGATATATAAATATTAAATATGGCATTGTGTTTGATTTTTTTTTTTTTTTCATTAGATTATTAGAAAGTAATAATAATAATAATAATAATAATAATAATAATAATAATAATAATGATTTTTTTGTCGTCTACTGACACGAATTATTATTATGACGGGGGGAATAAAAAATTCTTTATCCACGTCGCGATAATCTCGGAGTAAGACTTAGCTATACTATTATTAGTCCATTGTCGAGGAAGAGTGTGGTGAGAAAGAAAGGGGATGACGCGGTGTGGGGAGGGGGGTTAGGATCACGCGCGTTTTTTTTTTTTGTTGTTGTTATTCCTGTTCCTGTTTACTAACGACGACGACAGGAATCAGAATCGTGGGATTAACGGAAGTAAGACAAAACGGACGACAGGACGATTTATTTTCCGACGGAGAGTGTGTGTTTTCTTTAAATAATAATAATAATAATAATTTTCCTTCGAAAAAAAAAAAAAAATTTTTTTTTGCGAACGTCGCTGTTGTGCTGCTGTTGTTTCTAATAATCATTATGACTATGACGATGATGATGATGATGATGATGATAGTACACGTTCGGCGACGGTTATTACAAAATATACATTTAAAAAAAAAAAAAATTTTTTTTTTTTCCCCGTTTCGTTTTTGTTTTTTTTTTTTGTACTTGTTAACTTTTGCTGCTGTATATTATTGCTTTGTAGGCCGCATGCTAAATTCGCTAAGAAGGAGTTTGTCGGATATGCGACTAACAACAGGATTGGGAAAGAGATCGTTTAACACGAAAAACGGAGGAGGAGGTAGGTTCGTTATTACTTCGAATCAACGTTATCATCCTCCTTTAATTTCTATCTCTCTCTCTCTCTCTCTCTCTTTAACACTCTCTGTTTTATTAACCTAAATCCGCTGTTGCATTTTTTCTTGTTGTTGTTGTCTCTGTCGCTGTTTACCCTACCCCTACCATACCCTCCCCCGTTTTTTGCATTTGTCACGTTATCGTTACTAAATATTTCTGTTTTAATTTATATGTGAAAAATTAACGGCACGTTTTTACCCCCCCCCCTTTGACCCTCCCCCCGTACCCCCTTTAAACCCACTGCTTGATTGTTTGTTTTCGAAAATAATTCTAATTGAGATGTTTGTTGTTGTTGTTGTTTCGTCGTAGGTTTTAGTCAGCAGCATCCTTCGGAACCTTTATATGTTGTTATCATCGTACCTATTAGGTATAAGGTTGTTATCACGAACGTCATTAGTGTTTGTTCTTCTTCTTCTTCTTCTTTCAACATCATCAAACCCGATATAAATTGTTTCTCTCTCTCTCTCTCTCTTTCTCTCCCGAATTGTTTTTCTTAACGTTCAAAGCTTTTGCTGCTTTTTTTTTTGTTTTTTTAACACAAAGTTCGAAGAATAGATAATAATAATAATAATAATAATAATAATAATAATAATAACTAAGATATTAAAAAATTTTTGAAACTCTCATTCCCCCTCCCCCCTCCCTTGCCCCCGTTCGACCTTTGTTAACCTTTTCGTTTACTTTCGAAATCCTTTCCCGAACCTTTTCTCTCTCTCTCTCTCTCTTGTTTTTTTTTTTTTTTACATAATATTTATTGTAATCTGCTAGGCATCAAATCGAATACAATAGTTACGTTGGATCCTAAAATGCGACGTAGTCGTAGCAATCAAAATGGAGGACGACATACTCCAGTCGTTGGAATAACTCCATCCGTAACAATACATTGCTATAATCGAGACAAGATGCCGTTGCTTGGTCAACAAGGTAGGAAAATCCGATAATTCATTCATTTTTTTTTTCTTTTTTTTTTTTTTTTTTTTTTTGGTTTTTTTTGTTGACATCCCGAAAGAAAAAATGAAAACAAAAAAAAAGAAAAAAAAAAATTTGGCTTTGCGATGAGGTAAAATTTATATATACATACTTAACTTATGTGCAAATCACTTTTTTTAAAAAAAATAAGATTTTCATTTTCTCACACGTCACACCCGACGGGCTCAAGCAACAAACAAACACACGAAACGCGAAACAACAACAACAACAAAAGTTTCATCATTCATTTGCTGCTACTGATGATGATGATGCTGCTGCTCCTGCTGCTGCTGCTGCTGCTACTCTTATTACTATCCGTCGAATCTCGGCGGAATTTTTTTTTTTTTGAAAGGTTGCCTTATCACTCACTCACATACACCCGCCGCCCGCTCTTTATTTCTTATCAATCGATCGTGTAAATAAAAATTTTCTCCTGCTGCGAAATGCTGACGACGATGAAATTTTCCCCCTGTTTCCGCTCATTTAAATTTCAAATCATTATTATTATTATTATTATTATCGTTTCAAGTTTATTTTTATCGATTTTCAGTTTCGTCAGTGTCGACTCCCGTTTCCGTCCATAAAGACAGTTTTCAAAACGGCAGAGGAAGTGATAGTTTATCGAAAAAATATAAATTGGGAAGTTCGATGATGACGTATGCGACGAATCAACCCGTACCGGAAATTGCTCATCCGCCGCCGACGACGATGCCTGTGACGACACTGTTGACGTCATCTCATTCTGGCTCAAATTTTCAATATCAGAATAATAATAATAAATCGGGGGTGTCGTCGTCGTTGTCGTCGTCATCGTCGCCGCCGGCGCCGGCGCCATCGTCGGGATCGTCGTCCGGTGCGACGACGGCTGCGGCAGCTGCGTCGTCTGCACCACCAACAACGTCATCGTCGTCGTCGTTTTCGCAACAAAAATACGTCAAATCCATGCCATCCGCCGTTGCCAACGCACATTCCAATCTTCGTTTTCCTTTAGGCTCTCAATCGGCAAATAATTTAGTTTTAGATTTAAACGCGGTTCGAGGTGGTCCTCAAACGTCGCAACCGTCTTCGAACAATAATCATAATCTATGTAATAATTGTACGTTAGCAATACAAAACGATGGTGACGTAAGCGAAATCGAAGGTATCGATACTTCGATTATCGAAGAATCCATATTGGAAACGTTTCAAAGAATCGATGCTCAACACGTAAGCAATAGCACGGATGTGGAGGATGAGGAAAATAAGAAAATGTCGATAATAGAAAATCCGCTGTCGTCGGAGAGCGTGGTTTTAGATCGCACGCACGGTGACGACGTGAAAACCATTCCATCATCGTATCAGATAACGGGCGGAGATGTATCGAGATCGAAAGATGTCGGAATACACAGCATGAGCACCTGCAGCGGAAGTCACGGGAAATCATACGGTCAGCAGTGTTCTTTCAACGGTTTTCCTTCACAATATCAATCCTCGCATTCTCAAATGAGTAGCGAAATGATGTTGTTAAACAATAGAGTCGACGAATTAACCAAGTTAGTATATTCCGTCGTGTAATTAGAAAAATAAAAAAAAATGATTCTTCCACGATGATATTTTTATTTTCAGACAATTGCAATCATTAGAACATTCTGTTGCGAGCGACATAAGGTTAATATTAAATCTTCTTCAGCAACAAGTCAGCGAACAAAGAAATCAACAACAACAACAACAGCAACAGCAACAACAGTGTAACAACGTAATGGAATCGAATCGTTCCGAATTAGATTCGAACGACGGATTCGAAAAACGTGGTGGCGGCGGCGGTAGTCATGGCGTAATGCAAAGAAGTCTTAGCATTCCTTACGGTTCAATAATTGCTCACAGGTATCGATCAATCGATCGATCCATCGATCGATGAATCGATGGATTTATCGATTTTCCGTTAATTCAAAATTCATTTTATTCTAGTAGAAAATCTCCATCCATGGACCTTTCGCAGTCTTGGGTCGGCGGACAACATGGTTCTCACATGAGAAGCAGTTCGGATTCCAACAGATTTTCATCCTATCAAACGGATACCGATTCGATCGATGGTAGTAATCGTAACAGATTGCAACCATATTTTACGAAAAAAGATTCTTCTCCGTCGTCCAACGCCGCCGCAGCCGGTGTCGCCACCCCCACCACCGCCGGTTGTTACACGAACAACAAGAAGCAATACCATTCGAAAGAAACACTCTTCGCGGGCGATGAAAATTATTTGAAAAAAATAACGGATCCTTCTTCGAAATCTTTGAGCGACACGAACGTGACCATATTGATCGATTCGACTCCGAGTCGATCCCTGAGTCAACCCATAAACATGACGACGACGACGACGCAGGTTAGCCAACTTTGATAATGTTTAATCTTATTTAAAAAATTTTTCGTCTATACTAACATTCTTCTTTCTTTCTCTCTCTTTTTCTTTCTCTTCCTTTCTTTCTCTCCCTCCCCCCTTTTCCAGGATGCCACGTTTGAAAAAATGAACGAAATGAGAGATGATAGAAAATCCGGAGCTTATGACGCGACGAAAGAAAAAGACGAAACGAAAAGATAGAATGAGACAAAAACAAGTGTCGCTAACGAGAAGAAGAAGAAGAAGATTAAAAAGTGTCACGTATCACCTTTTCGTTTATTATTATTATTATTATTATTATTTTTGAACATTTTTTAATCAATGAACGGTTTCGCGACGTGACGTCATAACCATTTAACCGAAATCGGGTTGGATTTGAAGGAAAAACGGGAATGAAAGCGACCCGATCGCATTTGCTTTTGCTTTGTTATATTATTATTATTATTATTACTCTTACTACTACTACTACTACTACTACTACCGTTACGTCATTATCATCATCATCATCATTATCGTTACCACTGAAATACAAATAAATAAATAAATTTGGTCGCGAGCGTATAAAAAAAATAAAAATAATAATAATAATAATGATAATAATTTGAATTTAAGCCCGTAATCGTAATTATCGATAATAATAATAATAATAAATAAATAAATAAAGTCATTCTTTACGCTTTGAAAACATGCTTTAATTATGTTATAGTTAATTATTATTATTAAAAAATTAAATTAAATTAATATTAAATTTTATTCATATGATATGAATTATAATAATAATAATAATAATGATAATAATAATAATGACAGAGTAAATATAAACGAAAATTTTGTGATATTCGAATTTAACATTTGTTTTTTTTTTTTTTTTTTGTTTTTGGTTTTTCTAATGACCCGATCGATCGTTTTTCAAATTTTATCCCAGTCAAATTTCCCATTCCCGAAAAATTCCCGCGGGGGGAAGAAGGGGGAGGGGAATTCATGGATTTTGCACGCACGCGAGGGGAGAATTTGTTCTCGTTATTCTTACTTAAATAAAAAGAAAACTTTCGGTTGTGCTTTAATGTATAAAAAATTGCATAAACAATAATTATAAAGGGTTTCCTAAAAGAAAAATTCGGAAAAGTCGTGGATTTAAACGAACGCGTTTTTTCGTTTTAACCGTCGTTAATTCTCACAAAAAAATATTTTTTGTTTTTCCCCTTCCCCCCACCCCGTAAAAGATAAGACAGGAAATAATAATAATAATAATAAAATATCTTTTTCTTTCCAGTTTTCCTTGTTCCCCACTTTGTTTCCATTCACCTACTCCGGAGAAGGGGAAAGGTCAAAAATCTTCTTTTTTTTTCCTCATTCAAATATATAAATAATAATAATAATAATAATAAAATATTTTTTCAACTCTCTCCGCGTTTTATTTAATTTTGGCAAAACGCCCCTCGACGCACGCACGCACACGCACGCACAAAATGGAGAATTTCAATTAAAAAAAAAAAAAAAACTTCGCGCGCAAATTTAAAATTTAAAAAAAAAAAAAAAAAAAGGAAAAGTTTTAGTATAATCGAATTAATAATAACCTATGTAATAAAATTTAAATATGGCGTCGACCGTTTTTTTTCACGTTTTTCGCGACGCCGCCGTTCGTTTTTTTTTAATCATCCGAATAAAATTTTCATATCGTATAAAAGATAATAATAATAATAACGATAACGATTATTATTATTATTATTATTTTTATTATCGTGACGTTGATCGTATAATCCGACGCGTATACGCACGCGTTGAACGTCAACCCGGTGGTTCAGGTTCGGTGATATACGAGGCGCCAGGTACGCATTAACTCGAGTGTGGTCTCATCTCGTCTGTGAAAGTTTTTTTTTTTTTTTTTTTTCCTTTTAACAATTCGTTAAAGACGAGTCTTAAAAGAAAGAAATAATAATAATAATAATAAAAACCAAATCCGACGCACTCGCGCACTCACACACTTTTTGTTTTTTTTTTAAATTAAAGATCGATACACATTTTCAAAGGAACATCCTCGATCAATAAATAGAAAAAGAGAGAGAGATAGAGAGAGAGGAAACCTTCGAATAGTTTGCCAAAGGACATTTTTAGTTATTATTATTATTATTATTATTTATGGGAGTGGCAGTACCGCCGACAAAAAGGTGGAATATACCGACATATTCGATTCATTTGCATACTCAAACACATACATTAAAACCACGTCTACTCTTCTTCTTCTTCTTCTTCTTCCACTCCTTCAACTCCTTTCTCTCCTCCCTCTCCTTCCTCTCCTCCCACTTCCTCCTCTCCTTCCTATCCTCCTCCCACTTCCTTCTCTTTCCTCTCCTCCCACTTCTTCCCCTCCTTCTACTTCTTCTTCTCCACCAACTTCCTCCTCTCCTTCCACTCCTTTCTCCCTTTTTAAAATTCTTTTTTCATGAACTTTGAACCCTAAAAGGTTTCAGGAAACGCATTTCACTCTTTTTTTTTTTCAACAAACGACTCACCCGGAAAAAAAAATAAAAAATGGCGTCCGTTTGTTCGGTTCTAATCGATATTATCGATTCCTCGCCATTGATCGATGTATCGATCGATCGATCGATTGATGAATCGATTTTCATTCCTCGAGGTGTAATAAATATTAAAAAAAAATTTGTTTCGGTCACGTCTTTCGTTTCGAAAAAAATAAAAATAAAAGAATCCACGAATCGTGTGTGGTTGTTGTTGTTGTTTGTTGTTTTATTGAGTTGAAAATCCCTGCAGGATGTCAAAGGACTTAATTGATTCGGCTCTCATCACGACGCTACCCTGACCTCAACGTATACGTCGGTCGGATGTCGAAGGTTTTACGCATTTTAACCCATCGTAAAAAACAATCCTCGACTTCTTTTTTTTTATGGGTTTAACTCGTTTCCTAGTACAAGATTTTTATTTTCAAATAAATCCGTATACGCATGTATATGTGCGTGCGCGTGCGCGTGGTGTATATCTATATACATTATTTACGATTAAATAAAAAATCGTAAAAATAAATTCAAATTCTTCGAGTTGGGTGGTGGGAGCCGAAGCGGCGGCGGCCGCGGCGGCGTTGGTGGTTCTTGCATTCTTTGGTCCCTCCGGTGCACGTAACTTTTCATCCTTTTAAAACTTTCCATTCCCTTATACCATCGTGAAATTTTCCCATACAACACGACAAACAACAAACGAACAAAAAAAATAAAATTTCCTGTCGGTTGTTTAAACCTTGCGTGCGTGCGTGTGAGGTAACCTGTGCTCTATGCTAATACCTAACATTGTTTTCCCTTCCCTATAAGTAGTAGTAGTGGTAGTAGTAGTAGTAGTAGTTGTGCCACGACAACTATGACCGGTATTTTTTACGTACCCGGTAATAAATTGTCTTTGTGTGACGTGTTTTTAATAATTATTACCTACCTTTGAAAAAAAAAAAAAAAAAAAAACCAATTTTCAACAATCACAACACATTCTTCGTTTCGATTTTTTTTTTTTATGACCTTGACGTTGTTCTTAACGATAAGAGGAGCAAAAAAAAAAAAAAAAAAAAAAAGTTTGTACTTACCGACGGGTACCACCTGCGACAAATTCCATAACGTGCGATATTCCCTACATATGGGGTCAAATTTTCCGTGGCACTAGTATAAAATAAAAAAAATCATTATTATTTTCATAATTCACGCATTCACACACTCACTCACTCACTCACGCATTTTAATTACTTACATAATTTACTTATAATGACGCTCTCCAGTTTATTATAATAATAATAATAATTCATCCGTTCACTTTATTCTGCCATGAGTCGGTTATTTTACGTTTTTTTTTTTTTTTTTTTTTTTTTTTCTCGTTTCGTTTGTTTAACAAGAATCCCTTTTTGTATTATTCCGATAAGGAAAAAAAAAAAAAAACCATTGACGTGTATCAATCTAAAGGAAATTTCGAGAACAATCGAAATCGAAACGGCACAGCCCTCTAAAAAAAAAAAAAAAAATAAAAATAAATTTTTGTTTTTTTGAATCATCATGCTAAAACATAAAAATCATTTATAAATAGTTATTTAATTATTACGTGTCAATAGATCGAATAATAATAATAATAATAAGATATAAAAAATAAAAAATTCTTTTTATTATTATTATCATTATTATTTTTTTTTTTTTCCATAATCGCGTCTGGAACGAATCATTTTTTGTTTTGTTTTGTTTTCAAATCGGAAAAAGAATAATAATAATAATAATGATAATAATAATAATAATAAAATTATTTACCTAACAATGACATACAAATATAGTAGTAAAAAAATAAGAAAAATCTTTAACGCGGATTAGTTTCGGACACGGTTCGAATCGCAGCATCCATCCTGGACCGTATCAAGAAAAGTAATTTTTTCTCTTTTTTTCTCCCCCCCTCCCCCGCCTCTCCTCCTCGTTATTTTTTTTTTTAACCTAAAAAATTATAATAATGATAATATTCGTCGTCGTCGTCGTCGCCGTCGTCTGGTTTCGTATACGCGAATAATTTCTAATAATAATAATAATAATAATAAACGAACGAATGAATTTATCACGGTGCATTCAATTATTATTTTTACTCCAGCCGATTTTCACCCCTATCTACTACCACTCATTCTCATCATCCCTTAAATCTTCTCTCTCTATCTCTCTCTTCCTCGTAATGTTTTCTCTCGAGTTTACCCCCGTAACAATAATAATAATAATAATAACAATAATAATTTTTTCTTTTTTTTTCTCTATCTCTCTCTCTCTCTCTTTCTATCTCTTTCCATCCTTACTGACGCGGGAAAAATTTTGTTCTTTGATGTTATTTTTTTTTTTTTTTTTTTTTTTTTTTAGGTATGAGAGAAGAGAGAGAAAGAGAGAAAGAGAGAAAGAGAGAGGGGAGGGGAGGGGAGAAAAAGTTAACCCGAAAATGCAGCCGCCACTGGATAAGCCGTGGCGCCAGTGGTTTATTCCAGTTTATATCCAGTCAGTTTCTAATCGACAACGAACACTATCGGATCTTTTCAATCAAATTTTTATTTTTTTTCATTTTTTTTATCGTCAACTTTTTATTATTATTATTATTTTATTAATTTTTTCTTAATTTTTAAAATTTAATTGTGATCGTTTTAACAACAAAAAAAATCATTATGCTTTCGATATATTATTATTATTATTATT